TGGGCGCTGGGCGCTGGGCGCTGGGCGCTCGCGTTTCCACTGCCCTGCGCGCGGCGCCTCCCTCTCTGCGCCTTTTCCTTTCCGAGCCTAGAGCAGCCCCGGTGAGGCGCTGGGTCCCCTGCGTGGTTGCCGGGCCGAGCGCCTCCGAGCTTCCTTCCTTATTTGTAAAGAGTTAAGATTTAGTTGAATCCAAGATGAAGATCAGGGGCGAGGCAGTGACAGGAGCTAACATGTAGATGCCGGGCACAGTCTTACCTCGTTTACGCTTCACAATAGCCTATGAGGCTGATGCAGTGTTACCGCCCCCATTTCACAGGCGAGGGAACAGGCAGAGCTAACTCGCTTGCCCCCGATTAAGGGCTTCTAGAGGTCTAACTGTGTTTATAACATTCCTCGCAGGCAAATGTCTGTGCTTCCAGCGTCGACATTACGAAAGCTTTGGTTTCCAGGGTTCCAGGGACCAACCCAACGTTCTGAGATTGGAATGTGTCTTGCTCCGAATCTGCCACTAATGGTTCCGATTTTTCTTTTATAAGAAAACTATTTTTAAAAATAATACTCATTTTTAAAAATATTCCTGGGCGGTTGGGAAAAATGTTTGGCTAGGGCGAGAGCCAAGTACCTAAAACCCGCGGCGGACGGGGATCCGCACAGGAGGGAGGAGCCACTTGCCCTTCCTCAAGATGGCTACTTCCGCGCGTCTTGCCCGCTCTAGGCAGTTTACCAAGATGGCGGCCACCTCTGCGGGTTCCGGGCGTGAGCGGGAGGTCTGCGCGCGCATGCCCAAAACAGGATTTCCGCTTCCGGCGGCTGGATTCTTCCTTTAACAAGATGGCGGTAGGAAGCAGCGGCGGTAGCAGCAAGCTCCGCTCGAAAAGCGAGATGGATTCGGGCTTCCTGGGGCTGCGGCCCACTTCGGTGGACCCAGCGTTGAGGCGGCGGCGGCGAGGCCCGAAGAATAAGAAACGGGGCTGGCGGCGGCTCGCTGAGGAGCCGCTGGGGCTGGAAGTTGATCAATTCCTAGAGGACGTGCGGCTGCAGGAGCGCACGAGCGGGTAAGTGGGGCGGGACTTCCGGCAGCTGGGCCGCGTTTTGTGCGGTTGGGTGAGGCCGAGCGTGCGGGGGATGTCCTGGGCGCTGAGCGCTTCCATCCCGCGTACCCCTGGGGAAGCCGAGGGCAAGGGCTGGGTTTTCTGGGTGGGTGGCTGGGGCACTTGGTAAGGTTACCAAACACAGGATTCCCAGTTAAACTAGAACTCAGGTAAAGGGGCACTGTAATTTTATCATGTCCATGTGTTCCTTGCACCCATCCTAGCGTAGTGAACTTGAAGTATTAAGTTCCGTCAACTGACGGGAGAAGGCGTAGGCTGGAGGGGCCCCATGCCAGCAAGAGGATCTTGAGCATAAGAGGGGAGCTGGGCCCTGCCTTCGAGGTTAAACCTACTCCTCCTGCAACATCTTGCCCCCTCCCCAGCATGTGTGGCTGACATTCTGTGTTTCCATCTCCCAGTGGCTTGGTATCGGAGGCCCCCGATGAAAAACTCTTCTTCGTGGACACTGGCTCCAAGGGTAGAGGTGAGGAAGCGCTTTGTGGTGTTGCAAGGCAATGATTGGTCGTCTAGCCCACCTTAGCTTCTGAGTGTATCAGTGTTGATAACATGGCTTCCTTAGCCTGGTGTCAGCCTGGGACCCCCAAGTCTGTGCTGGGGCTCAGCCCTATGGAACCGAAATAGTGGGTGGGGAGTTGGTTTTGGGACGCGAGGAGGCTCAAGGCCCTGATTCCTCTTCTTTCTGTCCCTTCCAGAGCTGAACAAGAAGAGGACCAAAGGCCAGAAGAGGTCACTGCTCCCCAAGAAACCGCTTCGGGTGGATCTCATTTTAGAGAACACATCCAAGATCCCTGCCCCCAAAGAGTGAGTGTCCCACAACCCTCGGACCCTTCTTTCCCACCGGATGTGGGCCTTCTGCCCTCTCTGCAGTGGCTCCCTCTCATTTCCTGGCCCTAAAGGAATTGCTGGGGAGGGAAGGAGAAAGGTGAGGGTTGCTTGGAGGCCAGGGATGGGGTCAGGTTTGGGCTTTGGGGAATGGATTGGAGGGAGGGAGGCAGGGGCCAGGGTGTTGTGGCTGAGCAGGCGAGGATGGGGCCTCCACATGCCCAGGGACTCTGGGGATGGAGAGGAGGGATTCGGTGGGAGCTAGGAGGTGGCTCAGGCAGGACTTAGTGTCTGACCCCTGAAGAAAGGGGTGGGTAGAACAGGCCCTGAGATGGGAATATGGCAGGAGGAGTGGCTTTGGGGGCAATGTTGAGGTCAGTGTTGTGTGGTGTGTGAGGTACCTGGGAGACATCCAGGGTGAGGGTCCCGGAGGTGTTATTTTGTTGGGTTTCCAGTTCAGAGAGGCCTGGGCTGGAGACAGGCCGGGGGAGATGTTCCCTAAAGCTGCGGGACAATGAGGAATGGGAGGAGCTAGGAGGAAGCTGGCCTTTTGGAGGGTGCTTGGTGTAGGGGCTGCTGGAGGAGTGATGGGGGGGCAAGCAGGGGTGGGAGCCCGACTGGAGGATCCGGGCCCTTCCCAGGCCTTTATCTCACCCACCTCACCTGTGTGGCTTCTCCCCTCCCCAGCATCCTCGCTCATCAGGTACCCAACGCCAAGAAACTCAAGCGGAAGGAGCAGTTATGGGAGAAGTTGGCAAAGCAGGGCGAGCTGCCCCGAGAGGTCCGCAGGGCGCAGGCCCGACTCCTCAGCCCTCCTGTGGCCAAAGCCAAGCCCGGGCCCCAGGACACTGTGGAGCGGCCCTTCTACGATCTCTGGGCCAAAGATAGTGAGTGCCCCTGCTGTCACCTTGGGTAGGGCAGGGCTGCCGCCACACACAGCTGTGCGTGTTATCTAAGGGGCGCCCTGCAGGTGTTCTGAAGATCTTCAGCAGAGTCAGGCATCTCCAGGTGGCGCTCTTCTCCCTTTTGTGCTGGGCTTTCCTGAGGGCCGGCTCCTGCCCCTCAGCCATGGGGCTCTCCTGCCTTCTGGAGCTTGAGGTCTGAGAGTCGGTTCTTCCCTCGCCCGTGCTTCAGAGCCATCTTTGTGGAAAGGAGAGGGGTCGGTGAGGGCCACGGTGATTGCCCACATGGGACAGCCCCCAGCATCTGCCCTCACTGCTCCACAGACCCTCTGGAGCGGCCGTTGGCTGGCCAGGACACATTCTTCCTGGAGCAGACCAAGAAGAAGGGCGTGAAGGTGAGCCTGCGTCCGAGTGGCGTCCTGGGAGGTCCCAGGTCAGAGGAGGGGCCCGGAGCCGAGGGACAGCTCTGAATTTGGGCCATAGAGCCCAGGTCTCAGAGCCCGCCCATCTTGTGATGTGTGGCGAGTTGTTGCCTGGAAGGGAGAGAGCAGGGTGCTTTAGGGAAGGTCAGGGAAACCCTTGCTGCAGAGAAGATGGTACTAATGGGTCAGGGACCTGGGGGAGCTTGCGGGCCAGGGAATGGCAGGACCAGCGAGGAGGAGGAGTCTGCAAGGTGGGGACGGTGGGGAGAAGGCTGGTGGGTTGAGGTGGAGGGGGGACGAGGGCAGGGGTGTCTACGTTGACCCCTGGGCTTCTGCTGGGGAGGCTGGATGCGCAGGGTTGAGGAAAGTCCCCAAGTGGAGGTGCTGTTGAGGGTGCTGCTCAGCCCTGAGCGAGCATTCACATCACCGGGTCTTGTTAAGATGAAGAGGGCCCTGGCCCGGTAGCTGTGTTGGAATGTTGTTCTGTATGCTGAAAGGTGGCGGGTTCGATTCCTGGTCAGGGGCACATACTTAGGTTGCAGGTTCGATCCCCAGTCGGGTGTGTGTGGGAGGCAACAAATTGGTGTTTCTCTCTCTGGCTCTCCCTTCTAAGATCAATTTTTTAAAAAAGATGCAGAGGGTATGGGTGGATCTAGGAATTGTGTTTCTCACAGGGGGTAGTGGGAGCGCTGCACTATGAGTCTTTGTTGACCATGTGCTGCTCTGACAGACACTGCTGCGAGTTTCAGAGTGACAGGCTGCGGTGACTAAAGTCAAGGCTTGCTGGACCACGTGTTTTTACAAGTGTCACCCACCCCCACCCATAGGGGTCACAGGGACTCAGGAGAGGTGGGCAGAGCTCCTGCCTGCAGGGAGGTTGCTGGCCCTGGGGATACCACTTCCGGGGGTACCAGATGTCCTGGACACTGGATCCCACAGCACCTCCTAGCTTGGAGGCTGTGGCAGTGCCAAGCATTTTCCACTCCCGAGCCTGGAGTCCAAGCCCTGGAGCTCATGAGAACATGAGTCCTGGGGCTCCTAGGTTTTACCCTCCTTTGGTTTTTGTCCAGCGGCCGCCGCGTCTTCATACCAAGCCGTCCCAGGTGCCTGCTGTGGAGGTGACACCTTCTGGAGCTTCCTACAACCCATCCTTTGAGGACCACCAGGTACATAGCCCTCTCTCCATCAGTACCTGCTGACTGGGTTGGCATTCTCTTGCCTGGTATTTTCTCCATGCCCACTGGGAGCTGGGGATTCAGCAGTGACCAAGTTAGTCCCAGGCCTGTCCTCTTGGGGCTCACAGTCTAATGGAAGAGACAGACTTTTTCCCAGACAGTGACAACCGAGAATAGGTGGAGCTGGGAAGGGGGAACCCAGAGGTTTGGTCCTTACACCACCCCTGCCCCCTCCCAGGCCCTGCTGTGGGAAGCCCACGAGGTTGAACTACAGCGGCAGAAAGAGGCAGAGAAGCTGGAGCGGCAGCTGGCCCTGCCCACCACAGAGCAGGCTGCCACCCAGGTGAACCCACACCTGCCCACCCTCTCCTCCTTCCCCTCGTTTGGCCCCTGACACCTTCCCTGTCCACTGACACCCTCCCTCTCCCCCAGGAGTCTACATTTGAGGAGATGTGCCAGGGGCTTCGAGAAGAGTCAGATGGGGAGGGGGAGCCGGGCGAGGGCCAGGACAAGGGACCCGAGGTGGCCCAAGACCAGGCTGGAGACGACCAGGCCGGAGACGATCAGGCCGGAGGAGGCAAGGCCTCAGCCATACCTGCCCACCTGACCACTGTGGGGAAGAAGACGGAGCAGCAACGTCGGCGGGAAAAGGCTGCCCGGATGCTGGTGAGCACTGTGGGCTCAGGTCTGCTTTCCCTGCTCCCGCAGCCTGATTTTTTCTGTCTTCACCCTGCTTTCTATCATGTCCGCAGCCTGCCTTCTCTGATCCCAGCAGCCTATCTTCTCTGGTCCCTGTAGCCTGCTTTTTTTGCTGTTTGGGATCCTCGTAGCTGCTCTGCCAGCTGAGTGAGATAGATTTTCCAGGGCCCTCCAGGCACCCCTTTGGGTTCAGGGTATATAGTGGGGAACAGGCTAGGTCCAGGTCCTGCTGCCCATTCAGGGGACTGGGGTTGAATGGTGAGGAGGTTTGTTTTTGGAAACCACAGCTGTGAAGACACTAGAGCAGCTGGCCTGCTATGACTTGAGCTCAGGTGGCCAGGAAAGAAATCCTGTGGGAGGTCGCATTGGAAGATACCGGGTCCTGCAGGGCGGGTAGTGCTGCGCTGAGCCCTGACTCCAAATGTTCCTGCAGCGGGTACAACAGGCTGCTGTGCGGGCTGCCCGGCTGCGGCACCAGGAGCTGTTCAGGCTGCGTGGGATCAAGGCCCAGGTGGCGCAGCGGCTGACGGAGCTGGCACGACGGAGGGAACGACGGCAGGCACAGCGGCTGGCTGAGGCCAACAAGCCCCGCAGGCTGGGGCGGCTTAAGTGAGGCCCGGGTTGGGCGCTCCTGGGGAAGGCCGGGAGGGGTCCTGGTACCTGCCTGCACTCAGCCTGGTCCTTCCTGCAAGACCATGTCTTCCCCAAAGCCCCATGTCCTCAAAGGCCCACTGCCCAGCCCACTCTCCCCCAAGATTTGGCTTGGGACTGTGCCCTGATCCCGGCCCCCTGTATGCCCTGTCCTGTTCTCCAGGTATCAGGCCCCCGACATCGACGTGCAGCTCAGCTCAGAGCTGTCCGACTCACTCCGGACCTTGAAGGTACTTGCCCACCCAGGTTGGTGAAGTTCTGTAGGGGAGAGCCTGTGCCCAGTGATGACACCCATCCTTGCTCCCCGTGCCCCCCAGGGGCTGTGGGCGACACCTTGGCTGCCCCCAGGCTGGGCCAGTTGGGCTGATTGATGCCTGGGGGCTGAGGGCACAGGGTCCTGAGATTGTGGTTCCCAGGGGTGAGGGGTTGGGTGATGTGATGGTTTGAACCTTGACCCTCAGAAGACCTTCCTCCCAGCCAGGTCCTATTGTAGCCCCTGTTCTCCTGCCCTTGCCCTCTCCAGTCCCAGAGGGCTCATCCTAAAGCTCAAAATGGATCTTGTCCCTCCCCCAGTTCGAACCTTTCATGGCTCCCCAGTGCCCCGGGAGGAAGCCCAGTTTCTCACCCAGCCAGGGACCCTGCGCGGTCTGGCCTGCCTTGGGCTGCAGCTCCTGTGCTTCACTAGTGGGCCCCCTGTGCCCCCTTCCCTGACCCCTGGTGTTGCCCCGCTGCTCCCTCTGCCTCCACGCCCTCCTCCACTTCAGCGCCTTCCTCCAAACCCAGCTCAGAGGCCGCCGTGGGTCGGTACCCAGCACTCCACGAGCTCAGGGCCAGCTGAGCCCCTGGTACCCAAGGCGAGCCAGGGGTCTTTGCTGTCAGGAAGACTGCAGGGGACTGAGCCTGCACTGGAGCCCTGGCTGGACCCCCACGAAGAGGTCAGGCCCTCGGGTCTCTTGCCAGGTGCCCACTGACACCTCCTCTGTGTCCCACAGCCTGAGGGCAACATCCTCCGTGACCGGTTCAAGAGCTTCCAGAGGAGAAACATGATCGAGCCCCGGGAGAGAGCCAAGTGAGGGCCACTGCCGTGGGGGAGGCTGGAGCCTGCCTGTGCCTGGTGGGCGTGCCCGTCACCCACTGCTCTCTGTTTCCTTCTCCAGGTTCAAGCGCAAGTACAAAGTGAAGCTTGTGGAGAAGCGGGCGTTCCGAGAGATCCAGTGAGTGACACCCCTTCTCCTTCCTGCTGGCATTCACTTGGCCCCCAGGCCCATCTCATACCCGGTAACTGTGGCCAGTGGTTGAGGGTCAGCCCACCAGATGCACCTGAACCCAGAATTGGGGCAGGAGGATCCCCAAAGGGAAAGGGAAGGGCCCAAACAGAAGGGGATGTCAAGTGGGTGAGAAAGTAGATTCCACTGCCCTCAGCCACCCTCATCCCCTCCTCTGTCCCCAGGTTGTAGCTGATGCTGGATGCCAGAGCCCTCACCCTTCAATAAACCACCTTCAGACCAACATTTAGGGCCTTGTGTGTTACTTGTCCCCTGCTGTGGGCAGCTTCTCTCTTCCCATCCCCCTCTAGCACATAAGGATGTAGGTTCCAGAACCATCTCCACCAAAGCCTGGTGAGACCCCAGGATGTGGTAGAGGGCCCATCCCTCAGGGTCCAGGTGGGCAGCCATTCCCCAGTGTGAAGGAGGTCTGAGAGGAGACCTTCTGGGGGGACCACTGCTCTCTGCCCAGGCAATGAGAGGCATGCCTTGATGACAGCCCTGTGACATTGAGAGTGGCAGCAACCAACGTTTGCTGAGTGCCTGCTGTGCTGTCAGGCAGATGGAGACTCATGAGCCCTCATAGCCACCCCATTGAGGGCCAGACTCACCCCATTTTAAAGATGAGGAAGTGAAGGACATCAAAGGGGGTGTCCCCCCCCCATACACACCTATTTAATGTTTTTTGAAACCTTAATTCTGTAATTAATGAAGACTGTTATCACTGTTAGTCATTGATATGGTGCATAAAGATACCAAAAACCCATGGCTGTCATCCCTGCCCTCTGCCTTCCATGCGAACCCTCTCTCTCTGCAGAGGTGGCTGTCACTGCAGTTTGGAGTGAGGGATGCCATTATGTCCCATGTGCCGCTATTGAAAACATTCTCGCCCATGTGGAAATAAAATGACTTTCCTGTGTCTTGGGCACTTTCCTGTGTCTGGGGCAGAACCACACTGCACGCGGCTCCTCACTTGCTTTTTACTGCGTGTAGAGAACTGGAGTCTGCGGGGCCTTCCTCGCTCGTTCCTCAGCTGCGGAGGCTTCCGCTGCTCGAGTGTGTCGTCCTCTCACTTGCCCGCATTGCTCCTGGTGGCGCTGGAACAGCTGTACATGTTCCATTCCCCGTGTCCATAGGACAGGAGCCTGGAAGTGAGCCTCGGCTGAAGGGACAGTGCCAAGGGGCCATTGGATGGAGTCGCCCGGTTGCTCTCTGTGGGCTGTGCTGATTCTTGCCCTCCAGCCACCCACAGCGCGCTGGTTTCCTGGGGCTTCCCTGCTCTACGATCCTGCTCTGTTTACTCTTGTGCCTGGTTGCCAGTGAGCTCTGTCATCTCTTCAGAGGATCACTGACAATTTCCTCTTCTGGGGGCATTTAAACCTTTTGACCATTTCCTTCCTGGGCAGTTTGTCATTTTCTTATTTATTTGTAGTGGCTGAAGTCTGTCATATGTATTACAAATATTTCTCCTGGGCTATTCCTTTTGACTTTGTATAGGGTATCTTCTGTCAGAAGTGTTCTGTGTTCTCAGTTTTCTGTTAACCTTATTCCTTTTTTTTTTTTGAGGCCATTTGGAAAGATTTTTCCAGATCAAGATATTTGTAAAAATAGAGCAAGCAATTTATAAAAGACATAGATGAAGGGAGAGACTAATGTCAGAGCCTCCCCTCACATCCTCTTCTGTCTTAAAAATAAAAAGGAATGTTGTACAAGGAAAGTGGCTTTGGAGGCGGGGGTGTAGATGTAGGGAGGGGGAGAGGCAGGATGGTAGGTTGAGGTGAAAATGAAAGCCACTTGGTATCTGCTAAAGATCCTTGAGCCCCGGCCTCTGACCTGGTAAACCCATCCTGGGGAATGAGTCTGGAGGAAACTGCTGGAAGAGGAGAGGAAACTCTTAATGTCCAGAGGTGGCCATCAGCACATCCGTCTTCCGTGGATGAGATGAAGTGGTCACAGCTACTCAAGGGCAAATTCTGCAGCCTAGTCATTAGGCAGAGTCCACAGGGAATTCACGCCATGTTATGGCCTGGGGAGATGTGCCTGTTCCCATGCGTGCAGAAATGGGTTCTGTGGCAAAGGTACGTGGGTGTTTAATTGCGCATCAGTTACATTTCACATCTGAATTTTACAGCCAAAAAAAACCACTCGGAGATGTACTGATGCCTGCGCCGTTCTTTGAAGTGCAAAAAATGGCTGGTGGATGGACAGGTACCCAGGTGCGCCAGAACCCAAGTGTGATGAAATGAGAATGGTAGGATCTAGGTGTGTGTGAGGGGTGGTATGGAAAGCTCGACTCTACTGTTTGAAAATATTCCTAATTATAGGGTGAAAGGCGCGTTGGGGTTTAGTGAGGTGCTAATGGAGCTTAAGTTCCAGCCACTTACCTGCCTGCGCTGGTTCCTTTCAAGGCCCTATGCCTCCTTTTGAATTTATCTTTTCCTAAAGCAGGTCCCCCAAACTAGAGAGCTTCAGGCACCACAAAATCTGGAGCTGCCTCTGATATAAAACTAATGGAAAGGACCACCCACCAGTTGGGTGATCTAGACCACAGGATGAGCACAATTGGACTATTAAAGGATGGAGGTCATCTGTAGGCAGCAGCTAGAATTAAGAGCACGGATTTGGGAGCCAGCCTCCCAATTTCAAATCCCAGTTCTATTGCATATCAGCTGTGTGACCCAGTGAAAGTTACTCACCATCTCTGTGCTTCAGGGTCCCATCTGACCTTTGGACATCATGATAGCACCCACCTCACTGTGGTTCATCACAAGGACTGAGTCTGCATATGAAAGTGCTTAGAATGGCCTGTCACAGAGTAAGCCCTAGATGAAGGTTCGCTATCAAAACAATGTCAGGAACAAAACAAAAATGGCTTAAAAAAAAACACACAAAAACATGGAAACTTGCAATCTGTGCCAAAGACCCCTCACAAAGACTTTACCTTTGTCTCACTGATTGCACTCTTGGGAACGTGCCCTAAGGAAATGGCCGGAAATTTGGGTAAAAGCATAACAGAGGCAGGTCCAGCTGAGCACTGTGTAGAATGGAAGGAAACGTGGTAATGGACTCGGGCAGACCTGGCCACTCCAGGGACTCGGACTCTTCGGCCACTAACCCAGGGGTGGGGTGCATGCTTGTGTTCTGATGCTTTGTGGGAGAAGCAAACAGGATCTGGCACCTTTGGTGCTGGCGCTCATCAACCTGACCCCCTGCCCAAGGTCTCTGGGTGGGGGGATTACAGGGGCCGATTTCTCCTTCCTGTGACTTTTTCCAGCATTTCCAACTTTTCTATAATGGAGAAACTTTTTTTTTTACATAGTTTTTTTTGGTTTTGTTTTTGTTTTTTAATTTGATTTGAGAGAGGGAGGAAGGGAGAGGGAGAGAAACAATGTGAGAAACATTGATCAGTTGCATGGAGAAAACTTTTTTAAAAATAGGAACTCGCCTGGCCGGGCGTGGCTCAGCGGTTAAGCGTCAACCTAGGATCCAGGCGATCGGGGTTCGATTCCCGGTCGGGGCACATGCCCGGGTTGCGGGCTGCAGCCGATCAATGACTCATCATTGATGTTTCTAGCTCTCTCTCCCTCTCCTTTCCTCTCTCTGAAATCAATANGGCTCAGCGGTTAAGCGTCAACCTAGGATCCAGGCGATCGGGGTTCGATTACCGGTTGGGGCACATGCCCGGGTTGCGGGCTGCAGCCGATCAATGACTCATCATTGATGTTTCTATCTCTCTCTCTCCCTCTCCTTTCCTCTCTCTGAAATCAATAAAGATATATTTTAAAATAAAATAAAAATAGGAACTCAAAATGTGGACAGAGATTCCTCGATGCAAAGATGTCTGCAGCTGTGCTATTTGGAAGGTCAGAAAGAGAAACAGTCCAAATGTAGGACAATAAGAAATGGGCTTGGACAAGTGGGGTATCTACAGCTGAAGCGGCCAGAGGTAGAGAGAGGGGACCAGGGTGGCAGATGAACCACCCCCACTCCAGCCACCATCCCCACCCCGTAAGGCTAGAAGTACCTCCAGGAGGGAGGAAGGGTGGTCAGGAAGTTGGGTCAGGGGATAGATTTCTGTGAACCGTGCCCCCCCCAAAACCGGAGTGGAATGGGGCAAACCAGGGCAGGGACCCCCTGGTGACCATGCCAGGAGTGGTCTCATGGCGCCACCTGTGGCCCTGCGTGCACATTAAGGTCCCTTTCTCTCTGAGTGTCCCTTTGTGGACGGTCAAATGCAGAATCCCCCAAGTTCAAGGCGAAGTGATACAGGTGAGAGACAGTGGCCGCCAGAGGGCGCTGAGAGCCCATGCCAAACCGGCCTGGAGGTTCCTGCACGACCCTAACCCCCTTACTCAGGACCCCTCAAAGGGCCACACTGCAGCAGGCTGGATAAAAGTTGGACTGGAATGGGTGCAGATCCAAGGAGACACCTCTCTAGGCTCACCCAGAGGGCTTCTGGGGGTTCTGAGGGCTGTGGGTTGGGGCTTAAAGGTCCTGCTAAGGAGATGATTAATATGTTCACAAGGGTTACAAACCGCCTCCACTCAGGCCTGGCGGAGCGGGAGAATGGGGGTGGGCGGGTGCTGCACCTGGAGAGGTGAGAGGTACTAAGTGGTGAGGATCAGTGGGAGGATAGGACGGACAGGGGTCCCTCTCCTTAGGGGCGTGTGTAGATCACAGTGGGGCCTGGCCAGAAGGTGTGTAGAAGGTTGCACTCCAAATCTTTGTCACTTGGCTGTAGGCAAGAGTGGCTAGCAGCACCCCTGACTCTCCCACCCCCCTAACCTGTTCCTTCTCCCATTGACAGGCTGCGATCTTACTCAGAACCCCTAAGGACCAGCAGGCATCATTCCACTCCACTCATTCCTCAGTGGACCTGTTTATCAATCCATGTGTAGGCCCGTCCACCCACCCACCCATCCATTTATCCAACTGAGGCAGGAGAGTAAGGAGCTAGGGAGATTCCTGGACAAGTGGAATGAGGGAAACAAACAAAATAATTAAACAAGGCCAAACAAGGCCAGCTAACAAATCACAAGGTTTTATCTTCCCTAACCAAGGACATTAAGGAGTAGATGGTTTACACCTTCCAGACCATGCTGGGGGCGGACTTGTCTGGGTCTTGGTCCCTCTGGTTCCTCTCCAGTGACGCTCTTTAAAAATGAAACCAACCAGCTTGGCCAGCGTGGCTCAGCAGTTGAGCATTGACGTATGATCCAGGATATCCCGGTTCGACTCCTGGTCAGGGCACATGCCCAGGTTTCGGGCTCCATCCCCAGTGGGGAAGCTGACCAATGACTCATCATTGACATTTCTCTCTCTCCCTCTCCCCCTCTCTCTGAAATCAATAAAAATACATTAAAAAAAAATTCACCAATCTGCACACTTAACATTTGTGTGCTTTACTGTATAAGCAAAAGTAAATTAAAAAAAAAAGGGGGGGGTCTGGAAAGGCATGAGGAGGTGACATTTGAGCAAACGCCCCATGTCACCAGTACCACTGAATGCCCCCAAGCTCCTGCAGGTACCGTGTTCCTCAGTGTAGCTCACACCCAGCACTTGCCCTGGCTCTTTCAGGTGCCATATTCACCAGAATAGGTCGCACCAAGTTTCTGCCACCAACACAGGTAGGCACTGTGTCAGTGGCACAGTGTGCACCGTGTAAAAAGAAGAGGCCTAACCGGGACTAGGGGGGAGGGGGGCAGGGGACTTTGGGCAAATCTGCCCCCAGTGGAAGAAGAGCCCACAGGCCCCACTTTTCTATGAGAAACATGCCTTCCCCTTTAAGGATGCAAATCGGCTTCTTATCAGTGGAGAGCCAGTCTGGGAGGAAATGAACCCCACCTCCACCCCCCAGCTCTGTGGCACTGGAAGTGCCTGGCATTTCCTAGAAAGAGAAGGGCTATCGCGCGGAGAGGAAGATAACGTCCTCCTGGTGCTAACAAATGGCTTAGTTCCTTTCCTGTTTCACAGCCGGTTTCGCAGGCTTCAATTGTTTTGAATGTTTGTGAACATTCAGATACACGGCATGTTTTTTTAAAGATGGTCTTTGTGGAAATTAATGATGGTGACATTGATAATCGTTGACAGAAGCAACTCAACAATACTTACTATTTTCTAGTGGGGGCAGCATACCTGTGAGGACCAGAGTGGCTGGGGCAGTGCTATGAGAGCCCAGAGGGGATACTGACCTAGCTTGTATTATTACAAAATAATTTTGGGGAGAAAATAATAACCCATACAGATGTAAAAGTCAAAGTGTTAAAAGTAAGGTGTTACAACCAGTTCAGACGAGCTCAAAGAACAGACACATTTCTAGATCAAGAATATTGAAACAGCCAGCCGGGCGTGGCTCAGCAGTCGAGCATCGACCCAGGATCGAGGCGATCAGGGTTCGATTCCCGGTCAGGGCACATGCCCGGGTTGCAGGCTCCATCCCCAGGCCAGGGCCTGCAGGAGGCAGTCGACCAAAGACTTTCATCACTGAAGTTTCCCTCTCTCTCTCCCTCTCTCTGAAATCAATAAAGATTATATACCATGTATATTATATTATGTTACATACATAAAGATCATATGCGTACATACACATAGTTATAAAGAATATTGTAACAGGCGTGGCCGTGCGCTCGGTTGGTTGGGCGTCCTTCTGTGCACCGGTTCAATTCCCGATCAGGGTGCATGTCCGGGTTTCGGGCTAGATCCCTGGTGGGGGCCTGCAGGGGGCAGCGGATCAACATCAGTGTTTCTCTCTGTCTCTCCCTCTTCCTCTCTCTCGCACCAAAGGTCAATAAATTTTAAAAACAGCCCCCCCCCGTCCCCCGCTGTGACGCAGCCACGGTCCTCAGCGCTCCGAGCGCCCTCGGCAATTTCGTTTCCAACCAGCAGCGGTTGGTCGCAGCCCCGCCCCCCAGGCCGTACCATTCAGGCCCGGAGGGGGTCGGGGGGTGGGGGACCCGGAGGGCTTCTCCGGGGACTGCCCCTGTGGGGACGCTCCCTGGCCCACCAGGGGCAGCGGCGGGAGGCTCCGGCGAGGGGCTCAGGGCTGCGGGCCTAGGGGCCCCTGGTCCCCTGCTGCGGGCACTTCTCCCCTCCGACCCCCCCCCGGCGTTGGTTCGCGCCAGGGAGCGCGGAGGTCGGTCCCCGGCCGGCTCCCTGCGGCGCAGACCCGAGTCCGCCGCCGGTCGGTTGGTGCCGTGCGGCGCCGATGCTGCGGTCCCGAGCCATGGCGGTGGCCGTCCGAGTCATTTATTGGTGAGCGCGACGCTAGAGGCCCCGGCCGGGCCCAGCCTCCGTCCCAGAGGAGCTGGGCGCTGGGCATGGGGGCGTCGGGGCAGGACCGTAGGGACCCTCCGCGGGAGCGGGGACCGTGTGGGTGGGTTGGGCGGAGGCCAGAGGGCCTCGACCCCAGCCCCGTCGGCGACCTTCTAGACGCCTCAGGTTACGGAAGGCAGACCTGCGATACGGTGGCCACTTGAAACCCCCCCCCGACTCTGGGAGTCAGTTTGGGGTGCGGGGGGGGCTGTCAGATTGGTAACGGGAGAGGCGCCCCCGTCAGCGCTTAGGCGTCCCCTCCCCCAGCGCCGTGAACAATCGTAGGGCGGGGACGGGGAGTTGAGAAGCTTCTAGAAGGCTCGGCGTGGGTTTGGAAAAGGAATGAGCGCAATGGGAGGGCCTTTTCTGGCCTCGGCGTCCCGGTCTGTAGAGGGGAGGGCGTGGTCCTGTCCCCGCGTCGGTGTTGGGCGCGTTCGGGCTGATGCCCCGCAGGAGCGGCCCGCAGGGCTGGGCGCTTTCTCCTCGTGAGGGCTCCGCGCGCTGACTCCGGGCCCGAAATAGCCGGCAGTGGGGGCTGGGGAGGCGTCAGATTTCCTCCTCAGGACTGGGGGGGCCTTGGGGGCCCCTCAGAGCCTCCAGGGCTGCAGGGGGCCGTGTGGGGGTGGACTGGGAGGGGGCAGGGTGTTCCTGCAGTTCTCATCCTAACCCAGTCCTCTTCTCTCCCTCCCCGTCTTCCTCCTCATGCTTGTGGTCTCCTTGCCGCCCCTCCCTTTCTGCGCCCCACTTTCTGCCTCTTGTCTTCCTTGCTGTGTGTCGGGTTTCTTTGGTTGTCTTCCTCCCTCCTGTGTCCCTGCCTCCCCGTCTCTGTGCTACTCACTCCCTTACTCTGTCTGTCTTTCTCTTGAGGATGTCTGTCCCCTCCTGGGTTTTAACATGTGTCCTTCATTTCTTCCTGGCCCCCCTCCCCTCTCCCTGGATTCCCACGGTGTCCCTCTCTCCCTGGTCCCCACTCTCTCGGACTCTCCCACCAGTGGTGCATGAGGCTACAAGCCCAAGGTAAGCGTCTGGCTGAGCAAGAGGCATCCTGGGAGGATGGGGGAGGGCTAGGTGGCATGGCCCCTGTTGACCCCATTGTCACCCCACCCCCATAGTATCTTCAGCTCAAGAAGAAGTTAGAAGATGAGTTCCCCGGACGCCTGGACATCGTGAGTCCTGGGGATGGGGAAGAGCTCGAACAGGGGTCACACACTCTGTCCCTCAGCCCTGGACGTCAGTGGGGTGGTATGGGGCAGCCGCGCCCTTCACCCATGTTCTCCATTCCCTGGGAAGGGGCGGGTGTCCCCAAGAGGGCATCTCAGCTCCTCCAATATCTCTCTCTCCCCAGTGCGGCGAGGGGACTCCCCAGGTTACCGGGTTCTTTGAAGTGATGGTAGCAGGGAAGTTGGTTCACTCAAAGAAGGTATGTCCGTCTGTCCTGCTTCCTTTTGGGGGGGGGTTGGGGCTGGGCTTAGTGTCTTGGTCCCAGCTCATCTCTCCCCTCTTCCTTCCACCCCCAGGGAGGCGATGGCTACGTGGACACGGAGAGCAAGTTTCTGAAGCTGGTGGCCGCCATCAAAGCCGCCTTGGCTCAGGCCAGTGGGCCATGAAGGCCGAGGTGAGAGCATCTCAGCTCCTAAACCCGGAGTTGGCTCCTGGTGCCTGGAGTTGATGCCTAGTTCCTAATGGACCCCCAGCCTAAGTACCCCCAACCCAGTACTGTACATTCCAGGACAAGTAGCCGTTTCCATACTGTTCTCGGGGCTGTAGACCTGTCTCTCATCACCATCTGAGCATTTCCAGTTTTCAAGGCAATATGTTCCTGCCGAGCCCCAACCCCAACCTGTCCTAGAACTTGGCACAGGCCACTAGCCCAGCCCAGAACCAAGTTCTGGCTCCACCCTCGAGAGCCCAGAGGCACTTTCTACAATCCTCCAAACTTGCGTGCCATGCTCCACCCGTGTCTAGAACAGAGCATCCTACCCCAGTCCACCGTGGACTCTGGCTCCTGCCCCCAGCGTACTTTACGCCAGAAAGCTGGTTCCCAGATGCTTTCAGCTCCAGTTCTGTTTCTTAGAGTCTCTGCTGGGACAGAGTGAGGTCATGGTCAGTGTGAATGTGCACACGCAGATTTCAGTTACTGTGATGCCTTGTGTGGGTCTGAAATGAAGTGAGCCTCCCCGATTTAAAAACAATTGAGAACTGTAGTTTCAAAGCTGCAGGAGCTGAATAAATGGGGGCTGTTGTTAGGAGGGAGGGATGGGGCTGCCACCACGTGAGACTTGAATACTTCATGACTGGAACGGAGCCCATCCTGTTGTGTAATCGCACCATTTGCCTCTTCCAAACTGTCAGTAACTTTAAGGTGTTCACTTACATCAGCCTGAGGTTTACTTGGCTTCTAGAGAGGCCCACAGTGGCTGCTGTCAGCCAACAGGCAAAAATGGGATTGACGCAAAGAAAGGGCAGCGAGAGGACAGGAGTGGTTTGCATGGTTTGTGAGTGCCATTTCAGGGGTCCCCAAGACCAGTCTCAGGCTTGGCGGTTTGCTAGAAGGACCCACAGAACTCAGTAAGACTGTTAGACCCCTGGTTAGGGACCATGACAGGGAAGTGACAGAGATTGAAGTCAGTGAAGTCTGGCGCATGGGCCCGGGGCCTGGAGATCAGGCGGGAGCTCCGAGTGAAGTGAAGTCCGGCGGGCCACACACAGTCCTCCCCGCAGTGGTGTGACTACAGGCACAGAGTACTGCCAGCCAGGGAAGGTCACCTGATCCTTGGGGGTCCAGGGTTTTTATTGGGGGTCAGTCATAGAGCCATAGAGGAGTGTCTGCATGGCTGAGCTTAGTCTCCAGCCCCTCCAGAAGTTGAGCTGCTAGCTTGGGGCACACATGAGCTGGTATAATCCCAGGCCCCAGGTAAACCAAGACACCAGGCAGGACATTCTGAGGTGACTCCCTGTTGGCCTGTCTTTGGGCAGGGTGAGCCCTACCTAATCAGTTGGTGACTGGTGAAGCTGTCTGAAGGGAGTGGGCTGGTTGGGGGGCGGAGTCAAAGAAATTAGTTTTGTTGTGATGTTTTCCCTTTTGCCTGGAAATTGATCTTACCTCAGGGCTGGGGAAGTGTGTCTGTCTTTCTGTAAGTCTGCTGGGGGCCACCCATCAACTTCCCTCCTCAGAGTTTCTCAGGATACACTCAGATGAGAATGAAGCCTGGGCCCGCGTTGCCCGGTGGCTTAGGGTTTTCCCTCGCGTCGGCCGCTTCCTCATGCCTCATTTTCTCCCTGGGTTGCATTTTCCCGTCTCCCTCTTACTGATCTTCCCTTACTGTGGGTCCCAACCCGGCCTCTCTCCCTGCAAGCTGACCCCTCCCCTCCTCTTCTCTGCACAGTCCAGTGACCTTGGCCCAGCCTCTCCCGGCAGACGCTTCATGATGGGATGGACTGAAATGTCTCCTGGACGCCGGGTCTCTCCCTGATGTTCTGCGGCTGCTGGGCGGGGATCGAAGCCCTGGTCTACCTGTGTGTGTGTGTGTTTGTGCCTCCCTGGAATCTAGCTTTGCACACTGCCTCCCCTTTCACCATCTCCCTCCCTGCATTCCCCCACGTTTCCCTGTCTCCCCCTGGTGTTTGGGGTGGTCCCGCTCCAGGCTTCCTTCTCAAGGAGGAGCCTAGAGAGGGAACCGGGTGTGAGAGTCTCAGGTTTCAGTTGTGTTTGCAACGGTTCACAGTTCATTAAATATTGAATGTGTGCACGTGTGTCTATTTTACTCCTGGAAACGCCCCCCTTCCGTCTCTGTTTCAGGAAAGCAGACCCCAGAGCCAGCGCCTTGCTAATAAGCATTTTATAGCAGCTTTGAGGTGAAGCAGCTGTGATAGGAATTTAAACGAGACTCTGACCTCCATGTCATTTGTCCAAATAAGTTGCCAGTGGCCCAAAGTGTCTCAGCACTAGTGTTAGTTTGCCAGGGTTGCCATGGCAACACCCCACAGACTTGGCAGCCCAAACAGCAGCCATTTCCTTCTCTGTCCTGAGGCTGGAAGGCTGAGGTCAAGGTGTTGGCCCGCTGGCATTCTGAGGCCTCTGCCTGTCTTGCAGATGGTCACTTCGCTGTGTCCTCACATGACCTCTGCATATGCACCCTGGTGACCAGTGTGTGTCCACATTTCCTCTTGTAAGACACCAGTCACATTGGAAAAGGGCCCACTTTAATGGCTTCATTTTAATTACCTTTTTAAAGACCCTATCTCCAGACAGACACATTCTGGGTTCTTGGCAGTTGGGACTTCAATATGTGAATTTGAAGGCCTTGCGGGGTGGTTAATTTGTCCTATAATGACACTGCTCCCAAGGAGAGTATGGGAGGGTGTCTTGCTGCCTCCAGCTGGGCTGGTGAGTCCTTTCACTGGGGGCCATTTATATCTTATATGTACCCACCTGGTCCTGAAAAAGTCTAAATTACTAAAACATGAAATTTTACTTGTATAAAATCCTATGTTCAGGAAGGGAGGAGAGCCCTAGAAATATCTACCACCATTTTTTATTTTAACTTTACCTCATGCATGGAGGAGAAAAAGAAAGTGCCATGATCCTATTTTGATTTAACCAAGACAATTCACACCTTCAAGCTAAGAGAATTTGCCCAGAACAGGGACACAGTGAATTCTTTTCCAACAGCAGCACTATGTGGCCAACTTGTGAACTGCACCGTCTGGGGTCAACTCCCATCACCAGGAAGTCACGTGGGGTCCCAGTGCATCTCCATGGAATCACGGTCACTGAGATTTAGTTAAATGAGTCACCATCTTTTGCTTGGTGACCTTACGCTTTTCAAAAAAACAAGTTAGAAAAATACATCTCAAATTCTAACTCCTTGCTGGCCGTGGGACCTCAGACAAGTGACCTCACCTCTCAGGGTGAAGATTTGGTGGGAAGAACCAGGGGAATGAGGGCGGGGGAATGAAGGCCACCCTAGGCTGGGGTCGGGCATGGCCAGGGACAAGCGCAAAATGGGAGATTTTGCCCTCAATGCCTTTGGGACCCTTTGCCCTTTGGGGGACTTATGTGGCCAAGATAACCTTCCCAAGTCCTTTTTTTTCCCTACATTAAAAACTTGATTTCCAGGGGTGTGGGGGGTGGGTGGGGAGAGAAACACTGACTTGTTCCACTTAGTGATGCATTCATTAGTTAATTCTTGTGTATGTCCTGACTGGGGATTGAACCCACAACCTTGGCGTAGTGGACGCTCCAGTCAAGGCACACAGCCAGGGCCCTTAGTGACAGGAGTTCTGTTCAACCAGTTTCACACGCTTCTCCAGGGTGCTTGTCCTACAGTTCTGCTGTAATACTGCTGTGGCCGTGGGAGGAGGCAAGCGCAGTGCCCACCCACCGCTCCTGCCCGCGGAGTCCGCAGCGTGACCCACCGCTCCTGCCCGCGGAGTCCGCAGCGTGACCCACCGCTCCTGCCCGCGGAGTCCGCAGCACCGAGGCATCTTCCCTTCCCGACTCAGGAACTGCTGTTCGTGCCTCCCTGCTTTTCCTCACTTCCCTCCCGCCAGCGGAAAGGCCGAGTCCCCTTAGCTCAACCCCTCAGCGACTCCACTTCGCGGTGCCTCATGCCAGGCAGCTCCTCCTACTTTTTTAAATAAAAATTTCAAACTTCAAGGACATTTATTAAGAACCTTGAGGTCCTCAGCTCAGCAATGTAATCAAAGTCACTTAGGCTCTATGCTGAGCATGTAAACGACACAACACGCTCCAGGTAATTCACACACACGTGCGTGGAGAAAGTGGGGTGGTTACCCACAGTCCGTGGATGTCCAGCTGTCTACATGTTCCTCTCCGAATAATCCCAGAAGCAGATGGGCTCCCAGCTCTCCAGGGCAGAGGGGTGAGGGGCTCTGCTCTCCAGCTGGGCACCTGCATCCTGCTCAGCTCATGCTGACAGTCTTCTCAGAAAAGCACTTGGACGCTCTGGTGTTTGGTGGGACCTCCTGCAGGCAAGGGATTAGGCTTCTGGCCGTAAGGGACATTTTGTAAGGATATTAGAACACATGGGACAGCTGCTGCCACATGGGGAGTCACCCATGCTGGGGCCACCCTGCCTGTTTTGATTTTGAGATCAAGAAATTCCGATGCTTCAGTTTCCCCTTCTTCCTATCCCCCCATCTCTCCTCTCCCCTTCTGTGTCTCCCCTTCTGTCTACCCCTCTGTGTCCCCTCTCTCTGCCCCTCAGTCTCTCTCTCTCTCTCTCTCTCTCACTCTCAGCCCCTGTCTCCTGGTGGGGTCTCCGTGTGTTTTCCTGTGCACATTTTTATCTGAGTCTCTTGATAAGCAGGAGGGGTCTCAAACATCCTGCAGTTGCGCTCACCCCTCAACAACAGCCTGTCACATGTCCCTCCAAATCCCTACTAATTCTCCCTATATTTTGCTGAGGCTGGCGGGGCCTAAGAGGATTGGAGCATTTGCTAAGTGGGACCACGACAGGGTCAGAGAACCAGCTGTGGAAGACCCAGGGCCAGGGCGGCCACAAGGGGGCAGCAGAGGAAGTTGGAGACAGGGGACAGGGAGCATGTCGTTAGTCAATTTCATAGAGACCATGGACCCAAAGTACAGACTTTGTGATACCAAGCCATATGTTAATGGACCCTTTACTTATTATTTACTCCTTAATTAATTTATTTATAATTCTTTTTAAAAAATTGATTTCAGATAACCTGGGAAGGGAGAGACCCTTTAGTATGCGAGCCGATGCTCTAATCACTTAGCCTCGAGGACCAGCTAAGGCAAGATTTCATTCTTTTTTATGGCCCAGTAATATGTGCCACACCTTCTTTATCCATTTGCCTTTTAATTGGTGCACTTAATCAATTTACATTTAAAGTAATCGTTGCTAGTTATGTAGTTTTTGCCATTTTATTGTTTTCTGATTGTTTTTATAGTCCTGTTTCTTTTTTATTCTATTGCTCTCTTTTCCTGTATGTTGGTGACTCCTGTAGTGTTATGTTTGAATTCTTTTCTCTTTATTTCTTGTGTGTGTCTTGCAGACTTTTGGTATGTGGTTAAACCCTTCGCTTATGACAAATTCCCAGCCCCTCCATAAATTGACAGTTGGAAATCCATGAGAAAAACACACCACACAAAACACCCAAAACTGAACCCCTACCTCACATCCTACACAAAAAGTTCCAGATGTTTTAAAGACCACCTTGCAACGAGGAAAGTAGACAGTGAACATGGCATTTATAAACTTTTATGTCAATTTGAAAATGAAACATATTGTCAAACTCATTTTTAATTTATTAATAAATTTATTATGTTTTGCAGCATGAGTTTGCCACTGATGAAAATGACAAACATAATATAACAGGTATTGAGAAATAGACATTAAAATCAAGAAATTCTATTTATAAAATATACAAATGGGAAAAATGTAACATTCATTGCCAAGAAATATAATCAACACAAATAAATGAAAAACGAGTTAAAAAGAGGACACCTCATGAGTATTAGTGTCCAATTAAGCCCTGACAAGGGCTTAAATTCTCCATGGCCAGGGAAATAAAGATGAAACCCACAACAAAGCCACAAGCCAGCAGATCTGCAAACACTAAAAGATGTCACAGTCGTAAATGTCCTCGAGGACGCTGACAGGAGGAGCGGGGCAGTGGGGCTGCTCTAGGTCCTTTGGAAAGTTCGGGGGCAGCACTGAAAAGGATCATCCACCGGGAGCAGCAAGTCTGCTCCTAGGCCTGAGGACCCGCAGAAAAGTCACGTGCGCCCCGAATAACGCTGCGTGGACATCAGAGCAGCACGACGCGTGGTGGCCTCACAGGAACACAGTAAATGCCACCACCCCCGGAGTTGGATAAACCGAGGGGCGTTCACGCTGCATAAGAGTGACCCGCTGCCAAGATCCGATGGCTACTGCTTCCCGCACCAGCGAGGGCGCACCGCGCTAGTGGTGGCCGCGGGATCTGCAGGGCTTTGCGGGGACACAATCCCTTATAGATCCAGTAACATCCAGAGGCCCACGTCGTCTTTATCCACAAAGTTTTCTCCTTCTTGGTACCCAGACGTGGAGGAGCAGGAGGGTCCCTCCAAGGGGTCCTGGGATGAGCGCAGCTCTGTAGATTCCGGGGTCACAACAGGGTCTGGCGAGAAATTTGAGGCGTAGGAGCCCTGAGGCTGGACTGGGGCCGCCGCTGGAGCTGGAGCCTGAGCTGGAGCCGGAGCCGGAGCCGTGGGGACCATGCCCTGGGCGCCCTGCTCAGGGTCCCACCAGGCCTGGCTGTGGCTGGAGANGAGCCGTGGGGACCATGCCCTGGGCGCCCTGCCCAGGGTCCCACCAGGCCTGGCTGTGGCTGGAGACGCTGGGTTCTGCCTCTGGGAAGACTGCGAAGGGCCTGGGCACAGCGGGGCTGCAGAAACCTGGGCCCTCGGAGCACACGGGGCCGGAGGAGAACACTGGCTCCTCGGGACACATAAAGTCCTCGGGGAACACAAGGTCCTCGGGGAGCCCTGCCTGCTCCGGGAACGCGCGCTCCTGCGGGCGCACAGGGCCGGCGGGCGCAGGCGCAGGC